CGTCGGTGGGGGCGTCGGCGTTCCCGCGAACGCCCGAGCCGTCCTCCGACCTCCTGTTCTTCTTCATGCGGTCGGTGATCTCCTGGCGCAACTGGGTCCATGCGCTTGAGCCAACCTCGAACCTCAGTCTCCTTCGCCGCCATCTCCGACTCCGTCGCCTGCACCTGCAGGCGAGGTGCTGCGGGAGCGGAGGATACTCTTCGGGTGCACCAGCTCCGCGCCGCCGTCAAAGGTGATTCTGGGCTTGGAGCTGCTGCGCGGCTTGTGCATCTCAACCTGCGAGCCACACCCTCAGCAAACATTCTTCTGCATGACTAGAACATCACTGTGCTCACACTGGCGGCACTGCGAGCAACGAGACCAAACTCATGACCCCATCATGTGTCAATCGATTTGCTGTGGAGGGAGCATGAGGAGCCAAAACTTGAGCCAAAATGGCTACGGAGGAGCAGAAGGAGGAGGAGGAGGAGGAAGAGGAGGAGGAGGAGGAGCAGGAGCAGGATCAGGATCAGGAGCAGGAGCAGGAGGAGCAGGAGGATCAGGAGGCGAAGCAGCAGAAGGAGGCCTCTTGGGAGTCTCTTGGGTGCACTCCTGGGGCCTCCTGGGAGCTTCCTGGAGGCCTCTCGGAGGTCTCTCGGGGGCTGCTTCGGGCCTCCCGGGGGCCTGCGACTTCTCCTCGAGGGGCTTCTTGGCCGTCTGCGGCGCTCCTGGCCGTATTGGCGCCGTCGGAAGCCCTCCTCGGGGCCCCAGACATCCGACGTCTCGATTTTTTCGAGACGCGGGCCCCCGACCTCCCGACCACTTCCCCTGGGGCTGGTTCTTCGTCCGTCGTTTTTTGACGGTCCCGAGGGCCGGCGAGAGCTCCGAGACGCCAAAAGTAAGAAAACCCTCCTTGATTTTTTCGAGACGCCCGATGTCTGGGGGCCTCTCTGGGCCGGCCAGGAGCCCTTCCAGGGCGAGGCTAGGCTGGCTATCGAGAGCCAGCTTGGTCGTTGTGGAGGTCTCCCGGTCTCCGCGCCTCGGAGGCCCTCTCGGGGCCGCCTCTTGGGGCTCTCCTGGGCCGCCTCTTGGGGCCAGCTCGGAGGCCTCTTGGGTGCTCTTGCCGGGTATATGGCCAGGACCCCGCGGTAAGGGGACCCAGTCAAGTGCCAGGGCCCCGGAGCTTTTCAAGTGGCCAGAATCACCAAACCAGGTCTGCCATAACTGGTGTTTTTTTTTCGTGTGACGGCAGTTCCGGTTAGTGGAACGGGGCGGGAGGGGCGTCCCCAGTACACATCACTAACCCAGGTCCCACTACACCCAGTTCTGCCAACGCCCGATCTTGGCCGAAGAAGAAAAAACACAAACATAAAGTTTTGGCGCTCCGCGCGGATTTCTTGGATTCGCGCTGGGAGCCCTCTGGCGGCCCCCCGGCGGCGCCGCCCCCTGCGCGCTCCGCGCGCCAGGGAGGGGGGTCCAGCGCAGAAGCGCGGAGCGCGCCACCGCCAGGGGGCTCCCAGCGCGAATCCAAGAAATCCGCGCGGAGCGCCAAAGGTTGATGTTTATGTTTGTTTTGTTTTCTTTTTCTGCCTGGGGCCATCTTGGTGACCTCTGGGGGCGTCGTCAGAAGCTGGACGGCCGAAAATGAGCAAACGCCCGAATCAGTCGAACACACTTATGGCAACTCCATGATTTGGGCCTCCTTGGGGCCTTCTAGGAGGCTGCCTTGGAGGCCTCCTGGCTGGGCCGTTTCGAGACCTCACGGGCCGTCGTATGCGATTTTGAGGCCATCTTGAGCCATCTTAGGGGCCTCTCGACACATCTTCGAGATATCTTGGGGCAATCTTAGGGCTTTTGGCAGTCTGAGGGCGTTCCTGGCCCCTGTCGAGAGCTGTCTTCGGGGGGCCCTCTGGGCCGACTTGGGGCCCCCTTGCGGCGCTTTAGGGCCGTCTTCGAGGCCATGTTGGGCGTCTCGGAGCTCTCCTGGGCCGTCTTGGGGCTTGGAGGCCTCTTGAGCAGTCGCGGGCCATCTCGGAGGTCTCTTGGGCGCTCTCGGGGCCATCTTGATGGTCTCTGGGGCCGTCTAAGGCCGTTGCAATGCCGAAAATGAGCAACCGCCCCATCCATCAAACATCAATGATTTGGCTTCTTCGGGCCCTCTTGGGCCGTCTCGGATGTCTCTTGGGCCGTCGTCGGCGATCTTGAGGCCATCTTGGGGTCATCTCGGCCTATCTTGGAGACATTTTGGGGCCATCTTGGGCTCTCTTTGCGCCGTCTTTGCGCCGTCGTAGCCGTCTTGGAAACCATCTTGGCCGTCTTGAAGGCCATCTTGGGGCCGTCTGGAGCGGAAAGACCAGCAAGCTGGGAAGTTTGTGGGTCCTTACGGGGCCGAACACCGACGGTAAAGACATTTCATGTGCCCTTTCGAGTGGCCGGCGGGATCGACCGAAGGCCCACCGGAGTGGGAAACTCTTGGCGGCGTGCTAGTGGTCTCGGGGGTCATCTTGGGACGGAGGGCTCGACATGTCGATTAGCGTTCCCCTTCTGGGCACGCGCGACCCCCCTGGAAGTTTGTGCATTTTGGGGACCAGGGCCCGCAATATGTTCTACATTTGAAGACTGAGGACTCCAAGGAACTCGTGCCTTAGGGCACGGTGGAGATGGAGCAGGTCAATCAATTCTCGGCGGCGAGCCCAGGGGGGAAGTGAGAAGGGGTGGGCCTTCTCAGAGGGCTCGGAAGTTCCCAAGCCTTCTGACAAATGTTCTAAGCCTTCCCCGAAGACACAGACAACTTCTCAGAAGGCGCGAGAGTTCCTGAGACACTCGGCCGCCTTCTGAGAAGACCTTCTCCTTCTCACTTCTCCCCTCGCTCGTCGCCGACTTCTGCCTTTTGCTCTCGGGCTTTCCAGCCTGGATGGTGCTTCGTTTCGGGCATCTCCAGGAGGCATTGGGCCTTCGGCGAGGGGGCTAGTGTTCTTGACCCGCGCTCTTGTGGCTCCTCTCTTGGGGCCTTTGAGAGGCCTCTTGGGGGCCGTCTTGCTTTGCGTGCAGTCTTTCACCTGGGGCGGGGGCACTTTTCGACGGTCCTCGGAAGCCGCTTTTCCCTCTGCGCGGGCTGCGGCTGCTCCGGGAGGGGCCGTGCCCCTCGATGGCCACGCCCCGTACCGGGGCCCACTTCGAGCCGATCGATCCGATTAGATGTCGAATCCGGCCAGCCCGATCCGCTTCGATCTGGACAATCATTCTCGCCATGGGGGAAGCGGGTCCTGAGTGAAGCGGGTCCTGAGGTTCTTCGCCGTTTTCGGGCTCCTGGGGCCCTCCACGGGCCCTGGGCCTGTCAGAGAACGACTACGACTCGGGATGGCGAGCTCGTCCTGGGGGAAAGCCCCAAGGTCCAGGTGCCAATTATTCCGACGATCCGATGCGGCCCCATGCTCGCACGGCGCCGCTGTGAACCCTTGCGCAGCCGATCCGATTCGGTTTCGGTGCCCTGCCTAGGCAGCCCGATCAGGGGCAGATGCCGATCCGATCCCATGTGCCGGTGCGATGCTGGCGGATCCTGGCACCTTCCGCGCAGCGCGCGGGAGAGGGTCGTCGTCCGTCGTCGTCGTCGTCGTCGTCGTCGTCGTCGTCGTCGTCGTCGTCGTCGTCGTCGTCGTCGTCGTCGTTGGTAGGGACGCTCCTGGGAGGGCCGCCCCCCCACTCGTCCAGGCCCCGAGCAAGATCCGCTCGAGGCCAGGTCCAGAGCTCCTTCAGGGGTGGCTGCTCCTGGCCATCGCCTCCTCCTCCTCCTCCTCCTCCTCCTCCTCGTCGTCCTCCTCCTCCTCCTCCTCCTCGTCATCCTCCTCCTCCTCCTCCTCTTCCTCCTCCTCCTCCTCCTCGTCCTCTCCCTTATCCTCCGCCTGCTCCCCCTCCTCCTCCTCGTCCTCCTCCTCCTCCTCCTCGTCCTCCTCCTCCTGGCCAGCTCCTCCTCCTCCTCCTCCTCCTCCGCCTCCTCTGCTTCCCTTCCTTCCCTCCTTATCCTCCTTCTGCTCCTCCTCCTCCTCCTCCTCCTCCTCCTCCTCTCCTCCTCCCCCTCCTTCTTTCTCTCCTCCTCCCCCTCCTCCTCCTCTTCCTTCTTTTCCTCCTCCTCCTCATCATCATCATCATCACCATCATCATCACCATCACCATCCTCATCCTCATCTTCCTCTTCCTCCTCCTCCTCCTCCGCCTTCTCCTGCTCCCCCCTCCTCCTCCTTTCCGCCTCCTCCTCCTCGTCCTCTCCCTCCTCCTCCGCCTGCTCATCATCTCCCTCCCTCCTCCTCCTCCTCCTCCTCCTCCTCCTCCTCCCCTCGCTGGCCAGCTTTCCTCCTCCTCCTCCTCCTCCTCCTCCTCTGCCTCCTCCTGCTCCTCCCCCTCCTCCTCTCCTCCTCCTCCTCCTTCTCCTCCCCCTCACCCTCCTCGTTCCTCCTCCTCCCCCTCCTCCCTCCTCCTCCTCCTCCTCCTCCTCCCTCCTCCACCTCCTCCTCCTCTCCTCCTCCTCCCCTTCCCTTCCTATTCCTCCCCCTCCTCCTCCTCCTCCTCCTCCTCCTCCTCCTCCTCCCCTCCTCCTCCTCCCGCGCGTCGAGGGAGAGACCCGCCTGCCAACAGTTGCTCCACGGTCGTTTTGCCTTATCCCCTGATGGCCTTGGGGGGGGGGGCCGTAGAAGCTCCAGGGCACCATAGGAGACTCAAACCGAATAAGATAAAGCAGCATAAACATAAACTCTCGGAGCTCCGTGCAGATCTCTTGGATCTGCGTTGGGCCCCCTTGGCTGTGCCTCTGGCGCCGCCTCTGGCGCGCTCCGCGCGCCAGGGATGGGGTCCAGCACGGATCAAAGAAATTCTGCGCCGAGCTCCGAAGGTTTATGATCATGCGGGCTTGTATGCATCCCACGAGCAAAACTCGACGACGCAGGTGCACCCAGATTCTCTCACCGCAAGATTTCTTGTCGTACGCGTCCACTGTATCCCTCCTTCCCTGAGGCCGTTCCAGCTCAGGCCGCGGACGGGAGCGGCGGGCGGGGGGGGGGGCTCTTCTTTTCCGGGCTGCGCGCCCCACCTCCCGGGCTCGCGCGCGACCCATGGCAGGCGCGTGGCCAGAGGGCTTGGTGTACAAGAACACTTTTCTGGACTGCGAGTCGCCGTGGGTCTCTCCTGTCACCGTGGAGCGGCGCGCCAAGTCGGACCCCTCCTCGGACCGCTTCTCGGCGTCGGATCTGGCTGGCGACGGCAGACTGGAGAAGAGGCAGCTCTCCTGGGCGACTGCAGACTGGACACTGCCCGGCCACTGCAGCAGGGAGCAGCGGTCTTTGACCTCTGGGACAGGCAGCGGCAGGAGCGATCGTGGAGGGCCAGGGTGTGTTTCGGTCGGGCCGCAGCAGCAGGATCCGTCGTGGCCCGAGCCAGCGAATTTGGAGTCCGCCGCTTGGACACTCCGCCAGGAGATGGAGGAAGAGGAGCGCTCGAAGGAGGGCCTAAAAGCGGGGACCCCCATGACAAAGACGCAGCGGCGTCACTTGCAGCGAAAGTGTGCGAAGGTCAGGCAGGCGAGCGAGATTCCCGACGCAGCGGCCGGCAGCTCGAAAAACTCCACCAAGGTCTCTCTGTGATGGCCCCTGTTCGTTCAGGTCCTGGTAGCTGGTAGGATGTGGCCTGCGTTACCTCGGTGAGGCCGCGTCTTCGTCGCGCTACCAGGCCTAATTAGTGGCTCTTTCTGCTCTCGATGGATTGGTCCTCCTCCCGTCCTTCCTGCTCTCCCCCCCCCACGCGCCTCCTCGGGATCTTTCCGGAGGCGGGGCTGCCCGCGGTAGGGCGTGGTATAGGCGTTCTTGGCGCTCCCGGGCGCCTGCGCCCTGCCCCACACGTCCGGCGGCGCGCCGCCCCCCCAAGCCCGGGGCTCTCGGGGCGGAGCACGCGAGGGCGCTCTCGGGACGGGGCCAGGGCGAGGACGCAACCCAGACCCCCTCGAGTAATGAAAAAATCACGACGGGAGGTTTTTCCTAATTTTCGGCCTCCGGGGGCCCTCACCGGGCCTCGGGAGCGTCAAAAAACGGCTCAGGATGAAAAACCGGTCCCGGCGAATAGGTCCGGACCTCTGGGGGTCGCGTCATGAAAAAATCATGACGTCGGGGGTCTGGGATCCGTGCCAGAGCCTTTGTGGGCCCCGGAAGCGGCAGGGCCGTTTTTTCACCGTGTCAGGAAAAGTGCCCCTGGAAAATGGGAACGGCAAAGAAACGGCGACCGGAAACGGCAAAAAAACGGCTCCAGGATTGGGCCTGGAGCCAGAACCGTTCAGAAAACGGCGACAGAACCGGTAAAAAAACAGCGTCGTAACCAGGAAAAAACGGCAAAACGGAACCGGTAAAAAACGGCCCTATAGGCCAGAGCGTTTTGGAACACTCTCGGAGCGCTCCGACACGCTCTGAAGCGCTCGAGACGCCTTGACAGGGCCACTGGTCCTCGCAGGCGCTCGAGGGATCTCCGCCCGGTCTCGCCCTCTTCCCGGCCTTGTCCCAGCTCTCCGTGCTTGAGAGCTGGGCTCTCGCAAGGATCTAGATTTGTGGAGGTTGATCAATGAACAGGAAGCATGTGGCCAAATTTCCAGATGTCTAGAACATGTGTTAAAACTGCTTAACACATGTTAGCAACAGTTTTGAAACATGTTTAGAACATGTTCCCTACATTGTAAAACCATGTTCAATTCCATGATAGGACTGTTCAAGTGTCCATTGTCATGGCATCCACTAATCTAGATCTAGGGGCCCCTGTCCGCACCACAGCGCAAGCTTGATTTGCTCTCGAGTCCAGCACATCCTTGCAGCGTGTCGCCCACTGACTGCGCGGCACGTGGAGCTGCAGGAGGAGAGCAGACGGGAGGGCACAGGAAGCTGCAGTCATGACGCAAGTCAGGAGGGGAAAGAAACACTCAGACACAATTACTCGTCGATTCCCCGGAAAATACGGGAAAAATCGGGAAGTGGGGGGGAAGACAGGAACCCAGAAGATATAGGAAAATATGGGGAATAGTTTTATTTGTGTGTATTTATGTGTGTGTCCCAGGGCCCCTTCAACGTAAGTCTCTCGAGTCAGTAAGTTCTGCGCGTCAGGGACCTCTGGAGCATTCTCCTGACGACCTCTCCGGGCCTCTGGGGACCTTCGACGCCTCTCGGGGCACGACCTGCTCTTTGTGAAGCACATCTTGATTGCGTATGTGGCCGCCTGGACCAGCCTCTTGGCCGAAAGAGCGCCCCCGCTCGGCGAAATCTGGTGCCGCACACCGCGTGACAAGTTGGGTTACCGGGGGGGTGAGTTTGTGCAGAATGAACGGCCCCAAGGCCAAGGGGGCCCAGGCGCCCGGTAGATGGTCAAGTTTTAAATGTTAAGCCCGTGACCCCAAATCGAACCTTGTCAATCTACCAATCAGGGCCCCGTAAGCCCGGAAACGCTAGATTGGGACATCCAACATCTTTCGAAGCCCATGTTTTCCAGACGGTGGCACGAACTAATATTGCACTGCAGTATTCCCATACGAAAACTGGCCAGAACTTTAAAAAACCTGCAAAGTCGCTATAGACGATAGACCCGGACAAAGACCCGAATCCTGCAGTGCAGCAAGGAAACACGAACAGTGGACGACCAAATTCGACTTTGCAGGAAATGGTGTCGTTTTCCCGACTGGCCAATGTCCTGGTGAATTAATTGTCCTGGTTCCCTGGGGCCCGATCCAACTTTCAATCCGCTACTTCCGAATTGAGAATTTGAGTCTGAAAGTTCCCAATATCATTCTTCAGCGGGAAAGATTTCGCGTGTTTCAAGCTTTCAAATTAAAATCCTGCACCGCAGACCCAACCCCTCGTCCTCGCACTAGGGATTAAACGTCTGGGCGTTTTGGTCTGATACATCTGCACAAACGTCCCCCTATCCCCCATGTATTTTGGCCCGCCTAACTCAGGTCCCTTCCCAAAGGGTTATGGGTTCTTTTCGGGTCAATCAACCGAGGAGAGGAAAGATGAGGAGCGGCGGCGAAACCTATTCTCGAGCGAGATGTGATCGCTCCTGGCCGCTGCTGCGCAGCAGCGCTGCACTACGCTCTGCCGAAGGCTTGCGGCCGCCGCCTGGCCAGAGTGCGCAGGCGTGCGTCGCGTTCCGCGTGCGACAGGCCGCAGCGGCCCGCCACAAAGGCGCCCCACTCGGCGCGCTCTGGTCGAGGAGGGGTGCAGGTCGGGTCATGAGGCCGCTTGTGCCCTTCGGGGCGCGCCGCCTTCGGGTTGTGGTTAAGTCGGGCTTGCCCCTCTACAGGAGGAGTACTCAAAACTGGTTAAAGATTGCTCGGAGGACGATTTTTACCTCACAGCGAAGACTGATAGGTTTCTAGTAGGGTCAAAAGAAAGCATCATGACTCCCGAGGGGGGTCAAGGCGGGATCCAGACGGGTGCCCCTGGAAACCGGGGATTCCTTCGAGTTCCCAGAGTTCCATTCCTTGGCATGATTTTGAATGCCCGGAGCCAGCCGTAGGCCACTTCGTGTTCTTCGAGTTCCCAGGGCATGATTTTGAATGCCCGGAGCCAACTGTAGGCCACTTCGTGCCCTTCGTCTTCAAGTTCCAGAACTCCATTCCCGGGCATGATTTTGAATGCCCGAGCCAACTGTAGGCCATTTCGTGGTCTTCGAGTTCCCAGAACTCCATTCCTGGGCACATTTTGAATGCCCGGAGCCAACTGTAGGCCACTTCGTGTTCTTCGAGTTCCCAGAACTCCATTCCCGGCCAACATTTTGAATGCTGAGGCAGGCTGATTGAGGCAGACAGCTGAGGCTGAGGCAGGCTGATGCCAGGCAGGCTGAGGCTGAGGCAGGCTGAGGCTGAGGCCGAGGCTGAAGGCTGAGGCTGAGGCTGAGCAGCTGAGGCTGAGGCTGAGGCAGGCTGAGGCTGAGGCTGAGGCAGGCTGATGCTGAGGCAGGCTGAGGCTGAGGCTGAGGCTGATGCAGGCTGAGGCTGAGGCAGGCTGAGGCTGAGGCCGAGGCTGAAGGCAGACTGAGGCTGAGGCTGAAGCAGGCTGAGGCTGAGGCTGAGGCAGGCTGAGGCTGAGGCTGAGGCAGGCTGATGCTGAGGCAGGCTGAGGCTGAGGCTGAGGCTGATGCAGGCTGAGGCTGAGGCAGGCTGAGGCTGAGGCCGAGGCTGAAGGCAGACTGAGGCTGAGGCTGAAGCAGGCTGAGGCTGAGGCTGAGGCAGGCTGAGGCTGAGGCTGAGCAGGCTGATGCTGAGGCAGGCTGAGGCTGAGGCTGAGGCTGATGCAGGCTGAGGCTGAGGCAGGCTGAGGCTGAGGCCGAGGCTGAAGGCAGACTGAGGCTGAGGCTGAAGCAGGCTGAGGCTGAGGCTGAGGCAGGCTGAGGCTGAGGCTGAGGCTGAGGCTGAGGCTGAGGCTGAGGCTGAGGCAGGCTGGCTGAGGCTGAGGCAGGCTGAGGCTGAGGCTGAGGCAGGCTGATGCTGAGGCAGGCTGAGGCTGAGGCTGAGGCTGATGCAGCTGAGGCTGAGGCAGGCTGAGGCTGAGGCCGAGGCTGAAGGCAGACTGAGGCTGAGGCTGAAGCAGGCTGAGGCTGAGGCTGAGGCAGGCTGAGGCTGAGGCTGAGGCTGAGGCTGAGGCAGGCTGATGCTGAGGCAGGCTGAGGCTGAGGCTGAGGCTGATGCAGGCTGAGGCTGAGGCAGGCTGAGGCTGAGGCCGAGGCTGAAGGCAGACTGAGGCTGAGGCTGAAGCAGGCTGAGGCTGAGGCTGAGGCAGGCTGAGGCTGAGGCTGAGGCAGGCTGATGCTGAGGCAGGCTGAGGCTGAGGCTGAGGCTGATGCAGGCTGAGGCTGAGGCAGGCTGAGGCTGAGGCCGAGGCTGAAGGCAGACTGAGGCTGAGGCTGAAGCAGGCTGAGGCTGAGGCAGAGGCAGGCTGAGGCTGAGGCTGAGGCAGGCTGATGCTGAGGCAGGCTGAGGCTGAGGCTGAGGCTGATGCAGGCTGAGGCTGAGGCAGGCTGAGGCTGAGGCCGAGGCTGAAGGCAGACTGAGGCTGAGGCTGAAGCAGGCTGAGGCTGAGGCAGAGGCAGGCTGAGGCTGAGGCTGAGGCAGGTGAGGCTGAGGCTGAGGCAGGCTGAGGCTGACTGCGACTGCCGTTGCCACTGCGACTGTCATCGCGAATGCGACTACGACTGCGAGAACAGCAGAATTCTATCACTGGATTCTCATCTGAATCTTAAGGGGAATGCTTCCAGATATGCTCCTACACATCGCTGTTAGGTTGCTTTGCCGGGATCATTCCGCATTTCTTGGCTATTCTCGAGTATGTTTCGGGGTATTTTTTTATTTCTCGTCCAACATCCGCCTGCAGGAGGACACGCCCGACCCAACGTGGGTGGTACGGTGGGGGCGTTCGTTGGGGAGCATGTCTGGGAGGCCTCAGACCCCTGGGGGGGGGTCCTCGTCCGGCGAGGGCGGCGGTGACCTCCGTGGGCCCCTCCACGACTGGAGCTCTGCGGGCTCTCCCTCCTCCCCCTCCTCCATTGGGGGGCCCACGTGCCCCCCTCCTCCCCCTCCATACCTTGAGGGGCGACATCCATATTTTCGAGGAGGGGGAGGAGGGGGGCGACATCCGTGGCCACTCCACGACTGGAGTTCTGCGGGCCCCCAGACCCTGGACTCCTTTGGGAGAAGAAACCACCATACACCCGGGGCGCTGAAGAAGGAGCCCTTGTCGTTGGGGAGGGGCTCGGTGTTCCTTGGTTGTTTTGCAGTTTGCCCTGCGGGTTTTCCCTGGGAGATGGAAGTTCAACTGATGGGAAAAAAGGGGCCGCGTTCCTTATTTAGGGTTCCTGAGGTCGACGCCCCGACTGTAATCAACCACCGTGGTGGGAGTATGAGGGAGGAGCTGCAGCTGCTGCTCACGGCCGTCATGCTCTGGCGGGTCGGCTCGACACGCCGCGTTGCCGCTCTGCTCTCTCTCTCCTCTCTCTCTCTCTCTCTCTCTCTTCTGTGTCAGAGCTCTGTGCGGGTGGGAAGCAGCAACAATCCACCGACCTTCACACACACACACTCACGCCTGCTATTCTCGATCCGCCGTTCTGCTCCCCGTTCCGCCAGAGCACCAGCGGCCGGCCAGCGCTTCCAAGCGGCCTCGCTCCCGCCCCTTCCCGCCCATCCCCGAGCTTCACCGTGCTGCCTTCTGCTCCTCTCCGGGCTGACGGACGGTGAGGCCCATGCAGCGGGCTCGGGGAGATTCAGAGCGACGTGCGGCGTGCGGCCTCGCTTTCACGTCCAGGTGCGGCGTCGGAGCGGCCCCCCAGAGCAGAACCCCTCACCCCAACAAGATGCCCCAACAGGGCTTCCAGGGGGGGCAAACGATGGCCCAACAGAGAGACGGCCCACGGCGGGCAATAGACGGCTTCAGTGCGGCCCCAAGGCGCTTCCAAGACGGCCCGAAGGAACCCAAGACGGCCCCAAGATGGCCCCAATAGATCCCCAAGACGGCCCCAAAGGGACCCCGACATTCCCCCCGTACAGCCTCTCCAGCATGCGCCCGAGAGGCCCCAAAGAAGGCTTCAAACAAGAGTTCCTCGAGACTGCCCCCAAGTTGGCAAAATCGTTCAACCTGAGGGTACCCACGACATTCCCACGAGAGACGGGAAGCCTCAGAAACGGCGTATTCCCCGTCCCGGCAGGACTCCGACGCGGCCCACGAATCAAAGAGGACGACCGATTTCAGTTCGGCTTTTCCCCCGCTCCCGAGGATCTCACAATGGGGGCCCAGAATGATCCCAAGATTGCCCACGAAACGTCTACGAGGGCCCTGGAGGGGGTCTGGACCGGCCCCAGACGGCTCAAGAGGGATGGAGGCAGAGGGGAGGAGGAACAGAAGGACGAGGAGAATGGGGAGGAGCAGGATGAGGAGAAGGAGGCAACAGGATGCAGTGCCAGCCTTGGGTCCCGCTTGCCTTGTCTGTTGCGATTCGCCATCGCTTGTGGTTGATGCCCTAACATTGGCACGATAGGGAGGAAAAAGGAGGGAAGAAGCACGAGGAGGAGGAGGAGGAGGAGGAGGAGGAGGAGGGGGTATTACGAGGAAGAATTGGAGGGGGAGGGGACTGGCACTAGGAAGGGCAATGGGGATTAGCACTACGAAGGGTGATCCTAAGAATTGCGCGCAGGACGGGGAAGACGGAAGGAAGGACGATAAGCGCGAGCGAGGGGGGGGCGAGAGGAGGGAGGAGGAGGGAGCGGGAGGGAGGCGGGCGGCGGACAGGGGGAGGCCCAGGACCGCTTCACCTGCGTTTTACCACAGCGCCAGGGTCTGCGCTGGTAAATCGGGTTTTGATTGTGGTTGATTTTCTGCTGCACTAAGATTGCCCTAGGCATCTCAAGAGGTGGGGTGGAGAGCAGATGCGAAGGCGTCTCGCGGCGAGGGCTGGGGCCATCGCCACGAACAGGAAAAAGGCCGTTCGAGCTCGACTAGGTAGATCCGAACCATGCATTGCGAGTCGATCAGCCTCGATACGCTTCGACCTGGGCATTTATCATTCCGCCTCTTCTTCTTCTCTTCTTCTTCTTCTTCTTCTCGTCTTCCTCCTTCAGTTCCATCAGTTCCGTCGAGGCTTGGATTGCTCGGCTTTTGACTTGAGGTCGCAACGTGCCGGATTGAGAATCATCATTGAATCTCCTTGTGAGGTTCGATATCTCACTTCGACAATGGTCACATGTTTTAAAGTGGATGACGTCATTTCTCTTTGCCTGCAATTTGGAGCAGATTTGAGCCTACGGGTTGAATCTGTCCTCACGTCGCCTCCTCCTCCTCCTCCTCCTCCTCCTCCTCCTCCTCCTCCTCCTCTCCCTCCATTCGGCTCCTCCTCCTCCTACGTCCACCATCCATCTGCCTCCTCCCTCCTCATCTGCGAGACCGGGCGCACCACCTGCCGGCGCGATGCCTGCCGCGGTCCTCAGATGAGGCCTTTTCTGCTGTTGTATACGATTAAGTCGGGCCCGTCCCTCTACAGGGGGAATATTCAAAAATAGTCTGGGGACTTGTTTTTGAGTATTTTTGGGTATTTGTTGGGGTATGTTTGAGAGCATGTTTTGGTTGTTCATCCAAAGTCCCCCTGTAAGGGGACATGCCCGACTTAAGTATACTATCTCGCGCAGGCCGTCCAGCGCATTCGTGCGGTGCGCCTGTTTGGGCGAGGTGTCCACCGGCGCGCGCATAGTGGCCCTTGCGCCAGTCATGTGGGCGAAGTGTCCACCGGAGCCCCAAGAGCTGCTACCCCCCAGTTGCAGTACATGCCAGTTTCCTGGAGAGGCGTCCACAGAAAACCCCAAAATGGCTCCCCTAGGCATTGCGGTGCGCCCGCCAGTGTGGGCGAGGTGTCTAATGGCTTTCGGTTTGCACTCTGGTGCGCCAGCGTGGGCGAGGTGTCCACCGGCGCTCCAAGACTTGCTCCCCGGTCATTGCAGTGCGACAGTTTTTTATGGAGAGGCGTCCACATGGGACTTGGTGCGCCAGTGTGGGCGAGGTGTGGTTCTTCCAGGCACTCTGGTGCGCCAGTGTGGGCGAGGTGCCCACTGGCGCCCCCAGGAGTGGCTCCCCCAGGCATTGCAGTGCGCCAGTGTGGGCGAGGTGTCCACCGGTGCACCCAGGGTGGCTTCCCCTGGCAATGCAAGAGGAGGAGGAGGTGGAGGAGGAGGAAGAGGAGGAGGAGAAGGAGGAGGACGAGGTCGCGCAGGACGGGGAGCTAGATGAATTGGGAAGAAGTGCTCCGCGACTATTGTCGTGCGCGCTCCCTAGCGGCCATACACGGCCCAAGACCCCCATGACGGCCCAAGAGGGCCACAAGGCCCCCAAGACTGTCAAGACATGCCCAAGACGATTCTACAGCGCTCTAAAGTAGCCCTCGATGGCTTCATGGCGGCCTAAGATGCCCCCGACACACCCCAAGAAAGCCTCATGAGCACCCCCGAAAGGGCTGATAGATTTCGTTTTGGGTTTTCGCGTATTTCAGCGTTCTCGCTTTATCGTTCTTCCGACAGCCCCGGACGGCCCCGGGGGGCCTCTCCGATCGCCCCAAGACGCACCAGAAAGGCCCAAGATGACCCCAATACGGCCCAATGGGCCACCAAGACGGCCCAAGAGTGCCCCAAGATCCCCAAGGGACCCCCAGCGAGACGCCAGGGTCCCGAGAGGGGGGCCGAGAGGGGCCTGGGGGCATTGTCTTGGCGGGCTCCCCGCGTGCCCCCATGACCTTCTGGGAGGCCCCAAGAGGCCCTCCTCCTCCTCCTCCTCCTCCTCCTCCTCCTCCTCCTCCCTCCTCCCTCCTCCCTCCTCCTCCTCCTCCTCCTCCCTCCTCCTCCCCTCCTCCTCCTCCTCCTCCTCCTCCTCCTCCTCCTCCTCCTCCTCCTCCTCCTCCTCCTCCTCCTCCCTCCTTCCTCCTCCTCCTCCTCCTCCTCCTCCTCCTCCTCCTCCTCCTCCTCCTCCTCCTCTCCCCCGAGAGCGAGGAGCCAGGAGGCTCTCCCGCGGCTTGAGCTCGGGCTCTGCTTCTGGTCCCGTCGGGGCTCCCCTGGCGGCCACCCATGGGGCTCCTCTAGAGCCGTCGTTCCTCCTCCTCGTCTTCAGTCGGGTACGTCCCTGTACAGGAGGAGTTTCCAAAAATAGTCAACACATCGCATGGGGACGAGTTTGTGTTTTACTATGTTTTGACTGTTTGGGGGTACTTCTGACAATGCCCTGGTTTTTCTTCCAAGATCCGCCTGTAGGAGGACATGCCCGACCCAGTCCTTGCCCCGCCTGCCAGACGGAAGGCCCCCTGGATTCTTACCGGCGCCGCCGCCGCCGTGGTGGTCTGTGGCGCGGGCGGACGCGGAGGCGTCCGTTCCCCTCCCTCCCTTCCCTCCCCCTTCTCTCGTGTCTCCTCCCCTGTCTCCTCCTCCTCCTCCTCCTCCTCCTCCTCCTCCTCCTCCTCCTCCTCCTCGAGCCCCGAAGGAAGGTGGCTCGGGGTGAGAAGCCCGGCCCCAGGGCACGGGCCGAGGCCCTCCCAGTTGGGGGGGCCCCCGGAACTCTGGGCCGAGAGGGCACGGCGCCGAGCGCCCGGGGCACCGCCGCCGCCCGCTGGGCCCGATCCTTCCCGCTTCCCCATCACTGCGTTCCCCTCCTCCTCCTCCTCCTCCTCCTCCTACTCTCCTCCTCCTCCTCCTCCTCCTCCTCCTCCTCCTCCTCCTCCTCCTCCTCCTCCTCCTCCTCCTCCTCCTCCTTTTCCTCCTCCTCCTCCTCCTCCTCCCCCTCCTCCTCCGCCTCCTCCTTCTCCTCCTTCTGCGCAAGACATTGCGCGCCGAAGATCCTCCGACGAGCAACCGAAAGCAAAGCCGAACGAGTTACAGCACGGGCTCAGTGGCCAGCACTCTGAGAACTCGAGAAGAACCCGCTGCAGTGTGCCGATATTCACAACGTCTGCGCCTGTCCCAAATCTTCTTGGCCCAGGCAGGAAGACTCCCTGAGCGACTGGAAGAGAGACTGGAGAGGCGAGACGACGAGATGACCCCGCAGCGAGAGCAGCCAATCAGGACGACACCGTCCTGGAGAGAGAATTTGACCGGAGCATGAGGCCTCTCACCCTTGGCACTGAGGGCCTGGGAAGCTCTGGTAGCACGCGAAACAATGTCCTGGGGAAGGGTCTCCTGCACAAGCTGGAGCTGTGGGGTGGGAGGTTTACCACGCTGGAGCGAAAAAGGGTGGGAGGAGTCGGGGAGGTTCTCACCCACCTTGCCCACCCACTTCACCCATGACTTCAAAACCTTGGTTCTGGAAGCGACGGCAGCGGCTTGCGGCGGCGGCACTCGGAAGGCCTGGGCCGCCCACTTGGCGTGTCGGTCGGCCATGTCGTTGCCGAACTTGTCATTTTCATTTCTCTTATCAAAAATAAAATTAAGAAAACAAGAATTGCCGATGGCAAGTGTTCATTTTATTTTTGAAAGAGAAAATGAAAGGAAACCTTCTCTTGACTATTCTCTCTCTTATTAAAAAAGAGAAATAGGAAAGGTAATGAACGCGTGCTCTTAAGAGCTCAAGGACGCATTCACCTTTCCTTTTCCTTTTTTACCCGACAGGACATCCGCGCGCGAGGAGTGGGCAGGCACCTTAACAAAACGAACCGCCTCACACAGCTCCGAACCGTCGAAACCCCAATCCTCAAGCCTGGCCCACACCTCGCGCCAGAGAAAACAGTGTGTGTCTAGCACCTGAGTGGTGCGCAAACGGCCTCTGGACAACACACCGTCGAAGACATACTTAGAATCAGTGTGCAAGACGAGGGGCGGACATGCATGCTTGAGACATTCTAGCAAGGCAGTCAACTCTGCCTCATTAATGGTGGGAAACTCAGAGAAGAGCGGGCCACACATCAGAGCAGAGACCTCACGGAGGGTGCGGGCGCCTCTGGACAGCGCAACCACGGCCCAGCTTCCTGAGGCCCAGGGTCCCATGTCCCCTTCAAAAATCGAGCCGTCCAGGAAAACATCTCCCGTGAGCCGATCAGGGGACCCATGGACCCAGAGCAGAGGAGGGAGGTCAGGAAGTAAGGGACGCTCTAAAATCGGCATCGGCACTAAGCATCTCTCAGCGAGCAGCTGCGAGAGACTTCCATTGCTGGCGATTCCGCCTAGAGACTGACACAAGACATGTGGGTGCTCGAGCTGCAGAGCGTGCTGCGCGCAGCTGCAGTGCCTGTGCGTGAGCGTGCCAAGCTTGAGAGAGCCAGCGGCGAGGCAGGCAATGCAGTGAGGGTCCACGGGGTAGCCAGCGTTCCATTGCCTCGCCATTGGCCACTGGGCTCCGATCACGACCGATCGTACATACGAACGGTGCTGCGGCAGAGCCTTGGAGCGTAAAAAGGCTAGGATCGGAGCTAGGAGCACACAAGAACGAAATTCGGGTGCTTCGACATGTTCGGCTATCTTCGCACACTGCCAAAGGTATACCGCTCGCATCACATGTTGCTTGACTACATACGGGCAGGCCTCAGAAATGTTCAGAACTCGTCCTCCAGGAAAACCCCAAAATTCCAAAGACCGAGCTCGAACTCCAACCCGATGAAGAGCCCAGGGAGTAGTGAAAGGTCCCGCTATGGAGCTCCATGGGTCCTGCAGGAGGCTGAGGTGGGCGTCAACTTGCCTGAGGCTCGCGTCTAACACCATACGGGGCATCCATGACTCATGCAGACAGAGCATGAACAACTTAGCAGGCAACCACGTGGCCCTGATGATGGGATCGAGGTCCTTAGTGGGCGCCAGCATGAGAGCGAGAGTGAGGCTCTTGCCCGCTTGCTTGTGATCCTGAAGCTTGCCTGCTAAGCTGCGCAGTGTGCTGAGCTCCTTGCCATTGACTCCAGTGACGGCCGTGCCGAAAAAGGTAGCGCCCTCAAGCGCAGCTCGGCTCATCTGACCTAGAAGCTTTCTTCGAGGCCGTCCTGACTTTAAAGCTGACATGCGAGCTCGACGTGTTTTGATGACCTTGAAACGAGCGGCGGTGGTGTATCTAGGACGCACTTTGCCAGAAGCGAAGTCGACCCCCAGGTTGCGCTCGGTAACAGCAGCCTGAATCCCAAGGTGCCGAAGATTGCGAGCGAGCCGAAGTCGAAGTTTCTGCGAATTGCTTAGCACCCTGCCTTTATCTAAAGCGAGCTGCATGTCTACTTAGTGCAGTTCGGAGACAAGGAACGCGGCTGACTGCTGGAGCTCGTCTCCCACGCGCTCCTCGCCGCCGAAGCGCTGTAGGGAGAAGTCATCCACGTTGACGGCTAAAACAACTGACCGATGTGTTGCCTGGATTCTATCAAGGGGGCCTAGCAGTAGCAATTGCAGCATCAGCGTAACTCCTCCTTCTCCTCCTCCTCCTCCTCCTCCTCCTCCTCCTCGTGTATGGGAAGTGTATGGGAAGTGTATGGGAAGTCCTGGATTGATGCTTTCAGATTTCCAATATCTGAACTGGGGATTTGCATATTGAACTGTTCCAAGGTTTCCGAACTATCCTGTAGTGTGGGTTCTCGTTTTGAAGAGACAGCGCGCCGCGTCCCTCCCTCCCTCCCGCCTCCTCGTTCCTCATCACGTTTCTGCCTCTGCTCTCCTCACACGTTTCGTGGTCCCAAAGGGAGCTCCACCCAGGGCCCCAGTGGCTACGGCCGTATGGTGAAACCGCGCCCATTTCGGCACACCCCTCACGCGTTTCGTGGCCCGAAAGGGAGCTCCACCGACGGCCCCCGTGGCTGCGCTCGCATGGCGATACCGCGCCCATTTCGGCACACCCCTCACACGCTTCGTAGCCCAATAGGGGGCTCCAGTGAGGGCCCCAGTGGCTGCGCTCGCATGGCGCTGCCGCGTCCATTTTGGCACACCCCTCGCTCGTTTCGTGGCACCATAGGGAGCTCCACCGAGGGCCCCACCGGCTGCGCTCGCATGGCACCACCGCGCCCATTTCGGCACCTCTCTCACACGTTTCGTGGCACCAGAGGGAGCTCTACTGAACGTGGTACCTACAACGCGGTACTCACATTTGCATCTGGTTGGGACCTGCGCCAGGATACTTCCAAAATCCTGTGAGCGCGGGACTGCGATTATCAGTTATGGGTTTCGGGTTCAATCTGTACCCTTGGAGTTGAAAGAGTTGCACAAGCTGGAACGCCTAGTTTT